TGAGATAACAGTTATTACAATTTGTGCTCGTTCAACAAGAGCCCATTACTTGGCCTCCTGGGAGTGCTGTTTTTGGGGGCGTGGCCGTCAGAAACACTTGGCCGTACAGTGGCGTGGGCCAATGTATTCGAAAATCGCTCATTGCTCGTTGACTCCAGGGAAGTGAAGAAGAGTTCTAATTATTGTTAAGATATTTCAGTTTGGACTAAAGTGGTGAACCAACCAACCCACCAACATTGCAGCTAGTATGACTAGAAATGCTTCATACAAACAGTCGTACATCTCAAGTCCTCTGCTTGAGTACACATTAATTCATCACATGTCAAATATAAATGTATTTTCAAAGGCAGGGATGCATGTAAAAATAAAAAGTTGTTAAGCGTGACTCTGTTCAGCAGAGAAGAAGGATTCACCACTGTTGTTATGTGTCCATGGGAGGCAGCAAGCCAGTGGCCCGGCTGTAACCGACACTCTGACTCAGTGTTGACAGAGTCAAAGGGTCGGGACCCTGTTGCTGGCCCTCTGCAGGGTGAAGTGAAGCTCCAGGTCCTGTCAGCAACACAGATAGGGCAGGATGACCCCAGGAAGGAGGAGACTGAAGAGATCTCTAATTGCTGTCAACATGTGTCAGATTGTATTTTTGGCTGACCAGAGGGGAACTGGAGAGTGACTTTGAAGATAATGCCCTAATTTCTACTCACATGCTTCCATGAAGGCATCAAATGTCTGATTTGGGTTTCAAAATTGACCATCTCAAACTTGGTTTTTGAGCAATTCTTGACCATTAATATCCAGGAATTGAAGCCTAGATCCACATATCACTTTGGTTTCCATCTGCTTTTTATTATGAAGCATTTCCTGTTTGTTGACAGCTGTCCAAACATTTGTTTATTAAAGAACAAATAAAAGAAAGAATCGTGAAGTGAACAAGAAAGAGTTAAGACCATAGGAGGTGGCGGGGGGGTTGAAGTGGAAGATATTTCCATTCACTCTCCTTGGTCTGGTTAATGTTCCAGTTCAAAACATAGTGAAATGCTGTCCTCATCAAAGAGGAATCAGTGAGGATGGACCTGCTTTCCTTCACACTGAACTGACAGTTCTTTTTTCCCCTGAAGTTCATCCCCAGTGGTATAGCTAAGCCACGCTTGCGAGCAACCACCATGACATCAACAACATTAGTTTGGCTCTTGAAGGTATAAGAAGGTTCTTTCAAGGGGCACTCCGCCGATTTTCCTCGCAAAAGTCAGTTTGCTTTTTATTGGAAGCCTGTTGTTCTGTGGCTCTGGAGGAGCTTTGCCAAGTCCGTGAAAACAACACCTGAGGTTGATATCGAGGTTATCTCAGCTTGAGCTTGTAAAGTACAAATTCATAACAGAAAACCTGCGTTACAAACGTGCCTTGTGAAGTATAACAAACACGAGCATTTACCAGACAGGAAGGGACTATTATAGGAAATATGGGATGCGGGGGTTTCGAAGCCTGATGTTATGGACTAAAGGTGAGAAAAACTCGCCTTCTGCTTCTTAGATTTTGACCTTTAAAGCTGCATTAATAGATTTTTTGGCCACTTGGGGGCAGCGGAACAAGCTGTAAACAAATCACCTTTTAGTTCTTAAGTTGTTGTGGCAAACATTAGCAAACAGCTGCCTATATACACTTACAGCACCATACATAACATTACTCAAACAGCATTATCAATCAGACCCATTGTTAATATAATAATATTGATATGTGCAGCTTTAATCTTTCTCTTGTGAGTTCCCCGACTTCATGGAAGTAATTCGCAGGAGTTCCGCCTTATTGGTTCATTTGTGTCGACAGATATTAGTTAAATATTACCTCAAATTTCCAGGTATCGGATGATAATTCACAGCAATAACAGAGAATGCCAAACATAGTATATGTTTACTGTGAGCTGTGATCTAAGCACTATCCTCTTGTACATTACAGATTCCTCAGATGCTCACAGTAAATAGCTTTCTCTGGTGGGGGGATAGTTGCTATCGGGCAAGGAGGGTCTCCTGCTCGGCTTTTAGCATGACCCAGCGATTGACTCAGTCTGCAAATAAATATTGTCTGTCAAACTGTATGAACCAAGCTAATTTCCTCCACTTAAAGGGATTTACTGAGCCTGGGATACACAGTTTGTCTTCATTACCATAGAGCATTACACCACAGAATGCAGCTCGGAAACGCTAAAATAATTGGAGGATATTAATGCTTTGAGAGTATCGGCTCAAAGAAAGTATTGAATTAAATGAAGATGTCTTTGATTCATTAGGGACCCTGAGAGCCTTGTATCTGGTACGCTCCTTATGCTCTCTTCCTGTCTGCATGCATACAGACAGTTAAAGGGGGAGAGAGAAGAAAAACACATTAGAATAGACCTCCATGGCTAATAGAGGAATATAGTATGTCAGGGCGAGAAGGCAGGCCACGGAGGAAGAGAAGGAAACTGTGTAGAGGTCAAAAAGCAAAACATGGAGCCCCGTTTCTACACTCTCTATACATTCTTACGGGGAGAAAACAAAAGATGTGAGTGGGCTAAGGTGTGTGAGAGGATGAGGAAAGGGGGAGATGGGTGGGGAAGGGTATGTGATATTGAGGAAATACATGGAAACTAATCATTGTTCCTGCGTCTCGGTCAGATATCTGCGGGGCTGAAGACAGGAAGGACTCCTGTAAGAAGGGAGTTCCTGAGATCCTGTCTGATACACATGCGTGTCTTTGTGTACATTTAAAGTGTGCATAGCTATATAATGAGGAAGGTTTCAACAGGATATACTGAATGACCAAATGATCTTTGTGTTTGTCATCTTTTGTGTGTGTACGACATTCATAATATTTACACATAGAAATGGAGAAGGATACCTTTGGTGCTACTGCTCAGCGTAGAAGAAGTGGAAACTGTCATGCAGGTGTGTTTGTGTCTGCATTTCATGGAACCAATAAGAAAGAAAATGTCAAGGTAAATTGGAGCAAAATATGAAATATGGCTGAAAAGGGAATTGAAAAAAGGAAAACAAAAAGCAGCCAATAACACGATATTAGGAGCTCACAGCAATCTTTGAAATTGTTTCTATATTGTGGATGCCAGGTAATTATTCAAGGCAAGAAAAGGAAAAAACTGAATACTGTTCTATAATTCCACAATGATTTTTTTTATTCACGTTTTGTGACACTGTCAACAATTGTTTCAGTAACATATAATTACTTTCAAGTGACGTGAAGCGGAGTAAAGAACATACAGAGCGACAAACCCGGCGGACTGATGTTGGTTTCCTATTTCCAACTGACTGCAAAGTTCTTTTTTTTTTTTAAAAGCATAACTACCATTGTTTCATTAGCATTTATTTATAATTGCAACCATGACGCAGAAGGTCCCCTTGTTATTTTAATCCGAACCATGATCTTTCCTTAAACGTAACCAAGTCGTCTTATCGGAAAACAGCGTAACAGCTATATTGTAATGTTGAAGAGGGCACAAAGCAGCACTGACTTAACGTCACATTATATCCACACATATCTCAAAATAATGGTGAATCGCAACAGGTGACCTAACTGAAAAGTGTGATAACTAGGAAGTTGTCATTGGTCACAGGTGACAACCACTGCATCGATGATTGACACTCATGCAACACCCCAAAGAGAAAAGAAAAACATAACAATAATGTAGAATATCTACATGGGGAGTTAGATAGAGGGTTGATAGAGGGTGGTAATGGTGATAGCTGGTGTAGAAATTCTCAGGATAGATTTACCACAGTTCTTCTGAAATGGTTGGCGTTTGATGACCAGTCATTGGTAAATACTAATACTGGTGGTTGTTAGGGTGTCATGATGTGGTTCCCTACTCATAACTACCACTAGGACTTTGATACGAGCGTTTTTTTCTGTCATCAGAGGATTTGTCTGTTCTACTTGTGAACTATTTCCAGATGATTATAATAACATCAAACTAGTGCCAAATCTTCAAGCTTCAGATCACTTTACAGCTCTATTACAGGATGATGGACAGGACTGTGAAAATACTGCTCAGGGTATCGTTTTAAAGTGAACCTCCTAGCTGTAAGTAAGATACTGTTACCCAAATAGGATAACATTGCACTAGTTGCTTGTAATCAGGGAGATCTCACCTCCCCTGAACACATTTTGTGCACCACCCTTCCTATACTAATCCTGTGATAATCTTACTGGGATTTTTGCATCCTCAGCTGTGGGTCCCTGGAATTGGCCCCACTTGTCAGACTAGTGAGAAACGCTTTGGATTAGGTTTTTCAACTGATGATGAAAAACATCCTTCAGGTGCTACTAACACAGATGGTAAGGCTTTAACTTTTTTTTTTTAATACAGTATAGTGGCCCCAACGTTCAACACAAAACCACAGCTGGTAAATGAGAGTGGACCCTTGGGAAATTATATGCCGGGTGGAGTGCCAAAGGGGCACAAGAACAATTTTATTAGTGTTATGGGAGAGCAAAACCAACAATGTTGGAAATTTGCTCTAAAGTTCTTTGAGTTTGTTCACATGTGCAGATTTTCACTTGAGTTTTACTGTTATTTAGTTTTAATTGTTATGATTACAAATATGTGTTTATGATCGGAGAAGAAAAACTTTTCTTCCACGTAAAAATCCTTTTCACACATTAAATCCCTCATAAATTGATCAGATTTGTGATGCACTTTTACCCAACAGGCTACCATTCTCTGACAGCCACATGCAGTAATAATAGGACTTTAATGCTACTATAATACATCTATACATATATGAATTTTTACGAGATACTCAAGTGAATGATGAGCTGTCACAGACTGGATTCTGTATGTATGCTGGTCTGATTGTTTAACGCCTGTCAGTTTGTCTTCTGGTCTCCAGACATCCCCGCGCTGCTGCTACTTGACTGGTAAGATTTTCCCATGGTCTGGCAGACCAAGCCCCCGCAAACGTAGCTTATAAGGTTCTGTGCACGAGTGAACTCCTTACAAACGCTCCCAGCAGCCTTCCTCCTCCTCCTCATTCTTCCTCCTCCCTGTTTCTGTCCGTCCCGCTCTGCTCAGCAGAGGCGACGCGCAATGGAACAGAGCTCATCCCGAGTGGCGGAGTCAGTCTGAAACGGGACGTCAGACAGTTCAACTGTGGATGCTGCAGCACAGGAAATGCCGTTTGTTTCTCTTGTTAGCCATTGAGCGATTTGACTTCTCCGGGGATCTCCTGTTTATCTGACCACCGGGCGTGAGAGGCAGAAAAGTCCGTGGAATAAGTGAAGCTGCGGGACATCTCTAGTGCGCCGGGATGCTCGGGATGAGTCATTTCACTTTGACAACAGCGGCAGTTGTTGGTGAGTAAAAACTCGGCGCATTTGCGCTCATCGTCGGATGAAATAATGAGTGACGGGCACGTTTTTCTACCGCTCCAAGGTCTCCAGCGCATCTTTTGCGCACACGCTGGAGAGCAGCTTGGATCATGCAGTCTGCATAATTGACGACTGAGTGACTAAAAGCATCCATTAGGTGTGTCACTCCCATTGACTGCGCGCCCATTAAAGAAAGGTGGTGGCACCACAGTGTCTTCGTAAACTGCCCCTAAATACTTTCCGTCCGGAGTGCCCAGATGCTATTTATGCTGACTGAGGGGAACCGCAGAGCACTTAATTGTTTCTACGTGCAACAGAAGCATTGCCTCATATAATCGAGACATTACAGTCAGTCTAGGGCTCTAATTGAATGTTGCGCATGCCAGTGTTTACACGCCACCAGTGTCCGGCCTTACTGGGGAAATAGAAGTTGCGTTATTTCTGAGTGTCATAGTTTTGTGATGTTTCTGCAGAAACGGAGTCATTTGCAAAGCATGAGTCATGTAAAATTGTGTCAGACATGCATCTTTGGATCGCAATGCAGGAGGGTGGATTTTTTTTTTTACAGATCATCAGTGATAATTAGATTTAAATTTTTAGAATGTGAAAAGTGAAATGAATATTGTCTTAATGACGGCTTTAAGAGGCAGCGAGGCTCTAATGGGATATCTGTGTTGGTGGAGTCCCACCGGTGATGCTGTGTGCTCTCAGGTTCAGCTCCAGAGCAGCAGAAGTGAATTAACTTCTAGGTCATGTACCAAGTGATTCAAACATGATGGAAAGTCTCGGCAAAGTTGAGCCACCTCTCTGATTTTGGAAGAAGGGGAAAAAAAGAAAGAGCAAAGTAAACAGTGCAAGTCTCTCTTCAATTCTCAGATTCCTGCACTCACATGTGATACCGGCTTGTGATGTTCATTAGAGAATTGAGTTAGAGATGGGGATGGAGATAAATGTGTGTGTTTGTGGAGAGGCATCAGCAGAAGCTCACATGTGTAAATCATTACCATCACATCAAGAAAGTCCAGTTTATGGTCTCTCTTGTCCCATCCTGCTTGGTCCTACTGGTCTAGTCGTGTAGTCAGATGAGCTGTTGGAGTAAGACCTCAATCTGGTTACACAGGGGTAGAAGCTCTCTGGTTTGAGTCCATACTGGGAGATCTCGTGTTGTGCTATCGGAGCTGCCTCTGCCTGCCTCAGAGGCCCACATGTGGTTATTGTAGTGCCAGCATTTAATCTCGATAAATTCCTAACGGAGATGGGGCTACAGGTGGTTTGAGTTTGGTCCTGCAGAGGAGGAGAGGGGCATCTGGCTTCAATCAGTGTGTGTCAGACCGGAGTGACCGAGCTTACGAAGGACCTGAACAGCATGAACACCTACGCTCGAGACTAGGGCTGCAACTGATGATTATTTGCTTTGTTATATTAATTGTTTAATTTAATCATCGTCTATAGTGTGGAAAAATGCCTGTCACAGCTCACCAGAGCCCGACATCATGTCAGATAATAAAAAGACATCAATAACTTTAGTCAATAACTTGAGACATTCTGCCTCGCTTCTCTCTTTGTCTTTGTTGTGTTCGTGAGGTGATACAAGCTCACACATGACGAGAGGCTTCTTTGACAATCATTTTAGAGTTCATTTGGTTCTTTAAAACACTAGAAGCCGCCTGTTCAGCTAGGATATAGACTACATGTTCCCCTTACTTAGGAATGTACTTAACTTCTTTGTAACTATATGTCTGCTACAAAGACGGAGGGAAGGGGTGGAGGGTTAGTCGAACACAAACTGATCTAGTTCCCTCAACATTCCTCCAAGGACTCCTGCAGATTCTCACATCTCAGATTTGGCAATTTGTCTGTTCTCTACATTTTCATGAGCATGTGGGATGCTGCTGTAGATGACCGGAATAGATGCTTAATTCATTGAAAGCTGTAAGGTCAGATAAGTTTAAAGCTCTGAATTGAATTTATGAGCCCGAGTAGTGTAGCCGGCCATCTCCTTCATTAGCAATATGTCTCCTCCTCCTCTACTATCATTTCTATCAGCTCACTCCCCCGGCAGCAGCAATCAGCACTAATTTGACATAAACAGCCTGCTGGCAGTGGCAGACACATCCACTGGAATGGTATGTGATTAAGCTCTGATTGTGACGCTAGTTTATTCTGCATCTTTGATCACCCTCATTTTTTTAAACAGTTAGGTGTAACTACTATCTGAATCCACTGAACACTTTGAAGGTGTGAAAGGAAACCGAGTGTATTGTCTTGACTTCCGTTGGCTGTCTGTCACCATAGTATCTCCTTTTCAACTAAAAGACATGGCACTCACTCACGTGAATTTGGGCCGTAACATCTCAACAACTACTGGATGACATTCATGTTCCACAGAGGATGAATCCTACTGACTTTGCAGTCAGTAAGGTAGTACTTACTGAATGTGGATGAAGAAGTAAGAATAAAGTTGCAAAATTAAGTCATATTATCTGCGGATGAGGAACACAATCATGTTTTCTGTCAGAGGAGAATGAAATACGTTCAGAGTTTAATAAAACTAGAAAAGAAATGTCACACAACTCCATCTCTGCTGAGATATGGTTTGGATTTTCTCATAAATGTTTTGCCTTTCAGTTTATGGTTAGCGCTATATCTGATGTGGTAGAGGTGCAGGTTTTCACACTTCCTACACACAAGGATGTGTGCATACTAACAGTTATCTCATGGTTTACATTTGGAGTGTAACAATCAGTGGGCGTGATAAAAGGCCAGTAGGTTATGTGCTGAAAGACAGAGGGACACAGATCTCTGGCTGTCTGGTGTCAAACAACCAAATAGACTTGAAGTACAGTCACATGTAACACTTCCTGATAGGAAGAAAACAGGAAGATAGTTTCTTCTCAAGGCATGTGAGAGCTGGGGCTTCAAAGAAATCCGGGACGTTAAGATAAGGCATGCGATGACAGACATCCCATTCAAGTTATGGGATAGTTTCTCACTTAGTAGGTATCCGTTATGGATCTTGATGGTGAAACACCAAAATGTGTGCTGATGTTTTTGAGGGAAAAGATGTGTTTGATGCTAGTGACTCTGTAAATGCACCCGTTGAACCGAAACTGTGTGGTCAGTCAGTGCGTCCATTCAAAGTCAACAGTCTCCGAGCAAAGCTAATGTCTAATTATTTGAGTGATTTGTACACGATTGACAGAGAATGTGTGTATTTTTAGGAAACGTCGACATTTAATTTAAAAGGCTTAGCATTTAGCATTTGGCATCACATGAAGCCCATGCAGATGAAGACAAGCTTGTGCATCTTGGGTGCATGCCGAGGTGACTGCTGTCAAAGTGTAGCCAATCTGACAGGAAGTTCTATTCTGTGGATAAACAGAAAACAGAAGAGCATATATCTCCTTGACGAGGTGTGATACTCAAAGGACGGTTCAAAGATTCACCCTCGAGCCTGTGAAACACAAAGGCCACCCACATGACTTGGTTTCATACTCGTGCTGCCTCAACCCACTACAGATGTGCAACTGCTGTCTCTGCAGCATGTGGCAACAATGCTGAAACAAGCAGTTGCAAAGGAAAAGATGCCCCAGTTGAATTTGAACCGTAAGCTCTGGGTTTTTATGGTATTCATCTAAACCGCTAAGCCAACAGATGCCCCCGCTTTTTACAGACCAATCTTCAATCTTTCTTTTCTGCATCACTTCAATTTTTTGGACTTAGTTGGTAAAGTAGAAATGTATAAGCCACTTTAACAGCCATCTCTGATTAGCAGAAAATGAATGAATAGTCTAATTAAAGATTTGCTTGCAGGTTGACTGTGTTACGAAACATAAAAATATGAACGAAGAAAGAACAAATTAGACCTTTTTCCACTAACTCTGCCTAAAAGCAAACCAGAAGCAGCGCATCCTCAACTGTGTGGCCATCTTACAGTCATCTTGCAGTGGCTGACAGATAAACAGAGGGGGGCATGGTATACGTTAGCTTTCTTTTATTTGAAGCTCTGCAGGTTTACATTATTCCTCCTACAAAAACAGTTAAAGCTGGGATAACTCAACCCAGTAAAGGCTAACATTTCTATCCATTATCTAGCACCACAATCAGGTAAAAATATTCAATTTGTCCACGACTTTTGTTTCATCTATTAAAACCGTTTTCTTTACTTTTCTTTAGCATTGCAGTCTCACAGAGCTGCTCGGGCGACTCTAGACCCGTTCGTCTTGTTACAGTATAATTTGGGAATAATGTCTCTCGTATGTGTATTAGTGATGACTGTCAGTAACACAGAGCTGAGTCATCATTGCGTCGTAATCATCTGTCTGCTGCCATTTCTACAGATGAGGAAGTGAGAGAGAAATAAAAAGGAAACTCGGGGGTTGCCAAGGGGATGCTTGTGCCAAACTTTTTCTGCTCTATGACTACGAATGTGAAGCCATTTCAACAAGTCTCATGGTCTTAGCAGTTAAGCTTTCCCTCTCTCATTCCTGAAAACGGGTAAATCTAGTAGATGTATTGCATGTGTTGTTAGTTTTTGGTTGTGAATGTAAATAGTTAACATGTACTATCAGAAGTTAACTGCGCCATTTGAGTGAAAGACTTTTATTCGGGCCCGAGCACCGACAACATCGGGCCGCGAAGGAATTATTATATGTTATTGTTTTGGGGGCTTTACCATATCTCCAAACTCCCCAAATTTGGCATGCATATCAGGACTGGTGAAAAATTAGAAATTTTATGGGTCCCATGCTCGAGTATGACAAAATTGCTCGCTAACGCCCCCTAGAAGTTGGAAAGGCAAGCCCCCTCAGCACGTATGTCCAAATGACTTCAAATTTTACAGACAGAAAAACCCTCTTGGACCCCTAAACTCCACCTACTGACATTTTTGGTAACACTTTATAATAACTTCACGCTATGAAGCATTTGTTAATATATGAGTAAACACTTAATTCATCATTTATAAAGCAGTGTTCCTACATTTA